GAGTCTCCTGCCTCAGCCTCCCAAGTAGCTAGGACTACAGGTGCCCGCCACAACCCCTGGCTATTTTTTGGTTGCAGCCATCATTGTTGTTTGTGGACCCGGGCTGGATTCGAACCCGCCAGCTCAGGTGTATGTGGCTGGTGCCTTAGCCGCTTGAGGCACAGGTGCCAAGCCAATACAAGTTTCATTTTTAAGGGAATCTTCCTTCTTTTATCTGAAGGGTGTTGATACTGGTAATATACCTATAGGTGATGGGAAGAGGGGCTAGAGGATGAGATACAGAGGGGAAACAACTCAGTAGTCCATCTAGGAGTGAGGGACACCTCAGTTCCACCAGTCAAAGACTCAGATTTCACTGTATACAACTCTGTACTCAGTGCGGTTTGGCCCTGGTCCCTCCCTATCCCAGACCTCCGATCTTTATCCCTCCTACTAGTCACTCAATGACTAGTCTAGTAGTCATTTCTACTAGTCACTCAATGCTCTGTCATTGTTGATGAGGTCTTCTTCAATAACACACTAAAGGCAACTCTCCCATTTGGCCGTTAACTTCTAGAAGGCACAAGAGAACTGTGCACATGGCAGGTATTCAAACAATGTATTCAAATCTAAGTGAGTGGGCCAGCATCAGATGGGCAAAGCCAAAGGAAGACACACTTTCCAGTCTGCCCTAGGACCTACGGCCTGCCAGTCACAGAGAACATCAGAGAAATGAGAAAAGCTTAGGCTACAAGGCATCAAACAATCTATTTAACATGCACTGTGAGGTTATATGAGCAGCAGTGACTTTTTTAACTCCTATCTACCCAGGTATAGCACCAATCATTTTTGTATGGTGGTTTATGCTTGCTTTTGCACATTCTGAATGTGTCATGTACAGCAAGTTAAGCCTACCAAGGAAAATGAAATCATGGCCCCAAGTTTCTATGGTAACTGTAGAAAAGTTGCCAAACAAAAAGATATAAAAATAACAATTAAATCATCCATGAGTCTCTTTATGTAAAAAGGATTACCGAACGATTTCAACTTTAACCAAACTGAGTAAACATAAAAGAAAATCCAATGCGTTAAGAAATGTGAGCTTTGGCTCGGCACCTGTAGCTCAAGTGACTAAGGCGCCAGCCACATACAACAGAGCTGGTGGATTTGAATCCAGCCTGGGCCTGCCAAACAACAGTGACAACTACAACCAAAAAATAGCTGGGCGTTGTGGAGGACACCTATTGCCTCAGCTACTCAGGAGGCTGAAGCAAGAGAATCACTTAAGCCCAGGAGTTGGAGATTGCTGTGAGCTGTGACGCCATAGCACTCTATCCAGGGTGATAGCTTGAGGCTCTGTCTCAAAAAGAAAGAAAAAAAAAAGAAATGTGAGCTTTGGTAAAGATACCGAATGATTCCTTCTGGGGCTGTGAATAGATCTGCCAAGTTCTAAGTGGAAGAATTTTATTTTAAACTGCAATGCTGAAATCTAAAGCAAAGGAGTCCAAAGGTAGGGAGAAAGGAATGGGAAGGATTTTTACACTAGCTTGCTCCATTTATAATATAATTCCACACACAAAAAGCTACACATATAAAAACTGAATCTCAAGTGAAGGAAAACAGAAATAATCCTTTGTGCTTTAAATATGTTACCTAAAAGAAGAACGTTCATGTTTTGTGCTTCCATGCATTCTGTGATCTCTATTGCTTTTTTCAGGCAACGTCTAAATAGGAAAGAGACAAGAAAAAGGGGCATTAGTTCTTGAGCTTGGTAACATAAACAAGTAGTTTAGAATTACTCGGAATTTTCCCCTCTCGTTTATTTTTTTATGCCAAAATCCTCCAGAAAAGAAACTAATTATCATTTACACTATTCAGACAGTGGGAGATACTCATCTGCCTACTAAAAACTGAAAGTTTTCAGAAGGAAAACCCACAGTTGATGTTAAAATGCTCCTAGGTAATGTTCAAACTAGACATTCTCATTGAAAACTCACCTCCAAGTCTGCTGGGGGGGCCCTAGTAAGACGGATGCCCACACCAAGAGGATGAGGCGTGTGCACAATGCCTTGCTCAAGGTGACCAGCTGGATGTATCGGTGTGGCTAAAAAAACCTAATATGCTCAGAAATCCTTCTGACTCCCTCTCTCTACATATGTTATTCCCTTTGAGCCCACTGCCACCATGTGCAGCTTCTACATGTCCCCATCTTATACCTGGGGCCCTTCACACATGCTACCCTCTGCTTGCAGTGGTGCCCTCTCCCGCCCCCAGCAGTCCTCCCTCCCCACACCCTGATACTTCATCTGGTTATGGATGTTCGCCCTTCCTGGCCCACCCTGTGATGTTTTTTTATTTACAATATTAATCACTGTTTGCCATTATATATTCAAATTATGGGATATATAGCAGGATATTCAAAGCAAAGTTAAGTGTCCGGAGGGCTGAGACTCCTTTCCACAGTACTCAATGCAAAACAAAGACAAAGTGTGTACAAGCAGGAAGAAAGCATTCCCCCCTTCTGAAAATGTAGCATAGGTAGGGCTATTCCCTCCCTCACCATCATTTGGTTTGGTACCTTACTTTGCCGTATTTCATGGCAACAGAGAGGAGCCAGTCAATACATGTATGTGAAGCAGGAAAGGCTATAACTCTTCTCTGGGACTCTCAACTTAACCAAACCAAACACGACTAACTGACATTAATGATAATGTTTAAAAAACCATTTAAATAAGTCATATCTGTATAAGACACAAAATTCAAAGAGGATTGAGTAAAGGGCCAGCATCTCTCCCATTCTCACCCCAGCTCCCTCCCTAGAGACCAGCACTACAGCCTCAGTTGTAACTTTGGGCTGCCAAGCCCTCTTCTGTAGTCTTTTCAAAGCCTGACTACACAGTCTATCTCCTTCTAAGCAGGTAGCATGTTTGTAAATTCCCATCAAATGCACACAGAGGTAAAGAACAAATGTAAAATCCTGCTGAGCTCTGAATAGAACATGTGATCTAGGAATATTTAACTGTAAAATATCAAGTTATTAAATTACATGTCAATTTGCTCTACTACTATGAATTAGATAGTTGTAAAATTCATGAGCAAAATAATGGCTTGAAATACCTGATTATATCAAGCCAGCTGCTACTTTCCAACAGAGAAAACCATTTTATATCTGTGTCCCAAAATTCAGCACTGTTATCTGAAAAAGGAAAAAGGAATTAAGATGTCAGGTCATCGTCTGCTCATGTGCCTGTCACAAAAATACATCTATGTGACTCGGCTGTACTATTTGGATTAACAGTTCCAGACTGAAACTGCAGAAGCCAGGCACAAGACTCTGGTTTTTTGTTTGTTTGTTTTTGTTTTTTTGAGACAGACTCTCATTTTGTTGACCTTAGTAGAGTGCCAGGGCATCATAGCTCATAGCAACCTCAAACTCTTGGGCTCAAGAGATTCTCTTGCCTCAGCCTCCCAAGTAGCTGGGACTACAGGTGCCCACCACTATGCCCAGCTATTTTTTTAGAGACAGGGTCTTGCTCTTGCTCAGACTGGTCTCAAACTTGTGAGCCCAGGCAATCCACCCACCTTGGCCTCCCAGAGTGCTAGGATTAAAGGTGTGAGGCACCATGCCTGGCCTGAGACTGCATTTTAAGTAAAGGGCATTTCAGAACTTCAACTGGGGTTCAGCGCGCATAGCACAGTGATTACGGCACCAGTCACATACACCAAGAGTAGCAGGTTGGAGCCCAACCCAGGCCAGCTAAATAACAATGACAACTACAACAACAACAAAAATAGCTGGGTGTTATGGTGGGTGCCTATAGTCCCAGCTACTTGGGAGACTGAGGCAAGAGAATCGTTTGTGCCAAAAGACCCTGTCTCTAAAGAGTTTGAGGTTGCTGTGAGCTGTGACGCCATGGTACTCTACCAAGGGCAACATAGTGAGACTCTGTCTCAAAAAAAAAACCCAGAACTTCAACTAGAATGGTTTTTGAACTATAGAATCCCCTAGAAGAGTATGATAGTCGAGGAGAGATCATTGCTGAAGTAAGAAATGCTTACAACATGTGCACAAAGCCACGGTTCCCTATAATTCAACAAAGAGTGCCTTAGGCAGGAATAGTTGATATCCAGGCTGTTATTCCCAGAAGTTCAAGTCAGAAAGTTACCTGTGAGTGTGACAAACCTCATTGAGTGAAGATTCATTCAGGAGTGGAGAGAATCAATAGGTGACTGAGCACAACTGGGCCTGAGTCAAGTTCTAGATTGTTAGGGGTAGGCAGCCTAGGCAAGGGAATAGGGATAGCTATGGTGGGCACATTTCATTTTCTAGTTTGTATATTTCTGATTAATTGAAGATTTTTTACACTGTTAGAAACTGAATTATGTCAGCCTGGTACCTATAGCTCAGTGGCTAGGGCATCAGCCACATACACCGGAGCTGATAGGTTCGAACCCAACCCAGGTCTGCCAAACAACAGTGACAACTACAACCAAAAAATAGCCGGGCATTGTGTGGGTGCCTGTAGTCCCAGCTACTTGGGAGACTGAGGCAAGAGAATCTCTTAAGCCCAAGAGTTGGAGGTTGCTGTGAGCTATGATGCCACAGAACTCTACCGAGAGTGATATAGCGAGACTCTGTCTCAAAAAATAAAATAAAAATAAAATAGAAGAAAAATAAACTGAATATTTCTAATCAGGAAAAAAAAATTAAGGTATTTCTACTTTGGGAAAAAAAGTCCACTTAAGAAAACACACAGATCATTCACTTTATAAATCACCATAAGTGAGGGAATACAGGTCCTAAAACTTTTAGAGCAGTAGTTCTCAACCTGTGGGTCGTGACCCCTTTGGGCAGTGGTTCTTAAACTTCCTAATGCCTCCTAAATGCTGCGATCCTTTAATACAGTTCCTCATGTTGTGGTGACTCCCAACCATAAAATTATTTTCACTGCTACTTCATAACTGTAATTTTGCTATTGCTATGAATTGTAATGTAAATATCTGATATGCAGGATGTATTTCATTATTACAAAAGGGTCTGGACCCACAGGTTGAGAACCGTTGCCTTTGGAGGTCAAACAACCTTTCACAAGAGTGGCCTAAATATATCCTGCAGCTCAGCACCTGTGACTCAAGTGGCTAAGGCACTAGCCACATACACCTAAGGTGGCAAGTTTGAATCCAGCCCAGGGCTCCAAAACAACAATGACAGCTGCAACCAAAAAATAGC